ATCATGCCTCATTTTAATTTTAAATTTTCGGCAATAATCATTACATTATCACCCCCTAAAAAAATCCCATCAGATAAAAACTGCTTAATACAACTCACATCACCCCCCCCCCTCCTACCTGAACTCAGTAATTAAAAACAAACGTAAACAAAAAATCACTTGAGGCATATAGACTCAAGTGAACCACTTGGTGAATATGGTTCGATAAATTCCTGGAAATCTTTGGATAAGTTGCGACAGGTTCGTAACCGGTGACCGGATAAGCAAAAGTATTTAAAACATCTATTTGGCCGCCGGGCTTAATAGATTCGGATCCGGTTGCTTGCTGACAATGGCTAGCAGACGAGAAGGATATTGCTTCAGTGAGCTCTAAATCCTAATCTAGAATAAAAGAAAAGGATGAAGGAAAGAGATAAATGAAGGAGTAAAAGTGAAAATAAAATGGAAAAGAAAAAGAAAATGAAAGGTGAAAGAAGACAAGAAAAATGAAAAAGAAAGAAAACATGCCATTTTAATTTCGGCTCTTCAAAATCTTGCTAGGTAGATAGAACTATAATAATGGTAATGATAACAACAATGATAATGATAATAACTACAAAACAATAACAACAATATTGGTAATAAGATAATAATAATGATGATGATGATGATAATATTATATCAATTACGAATGGAAATACAATAAGAATAATCACAATGATAATGGTAGTAATAATGACAATATTGATAGAAATAATAGTAAGATCATATTGATAGTGATGACTAATAGCAATATTAATGATAACAATATAATGATAATAGTGATAATGATAATTATCATGATAATAATAATAATGATCATAATTGTTTTTGTTACTGCTATTGTCATTATCATCATTATTCTTATGAAAACGATGATGGTAAGATGATGACAGTGATGATGATGATGATGATGATGATAATAATAACAATAATAATAATAATATTATTATCATTAATGATAATAATAATGATAATAATAATAATAACAACAACAATAATAATAATAATGATAATAAATTAATAATAATAATAATAATAATAATAATAATAATAATAATAATAATAATGATAATAATAACAATGAGAATATTACAGCAATATTGATAATGATAAAAAAAAAAACAATTTCAATGGTATGACAATGATGATGATGATAATAATAACACGTTAATGATGATCCTGATGCTATTGATATGATAAGGAAAATAAAACAACTATATTAATGCACAAGAAATGTAATTTCAATGACTGCCATTAATTGATTATAATCATAATGGTGATTATGACACTGTTATAACACTCACCTCATCATTCTTTATATCTATAACTGATATAATTCCCAGTATTTATTCTCATCCTCACCACCACTCCTAATATCAACCATCCAATATAATTCCCTTTATCAATCATCATATCATCACTCAATATCCATCATCATTTTTAATCATTTCCTTTATTTATCGTTATTTCATTACTTCCATCCTGTATTATCACCCCTGATTCTTCTTCATCATCACCATCAAATCCTTTCATTCTTTATCATCATATCTATAACTTCCATGCTCTATCATTTTCATCACTTCTATTCTCTATAATTTTCATTACTTCCATGCTTTATCATCATCATTTTCATAACTTCCCTTCTTTAGCATCACCATCATCGATTCCATTATATATTATCATTCTCATCACTTCCATTCTTTAGTACCATTCTCATTTCTTCCTTTCTTTAGCATCATCGCTATCACTTCCATTCTTTAGAAGATTCATCACTTCCATTTTTTATCATTTTCATCATTTCCATTTATATCATCTTTTTCATCATTTCCATTCTTTATTATTCTTATTACTTCCATTCTTTAGCATCATCACTTCCATTCTTTATCATCATTCTCATCACTTCCATTCTTTATAATCATTCTCATCACTTCCATTCTTATCATTATCATGATCACTTCTTTTTTATCATTATCATGATCACTTCCCCTCTTTATCCCCCATTTCCCCGGCCCCTCTGAATGCCTGTCCCCGTGAGGTCGGCGTTGAGGCAAACCCGAACGCGACCGAGACCTGTGTTTACATCCGAAGACGCCCTCGCAGCAGCAGGTGACGGCCCCCACACAATATCCCCAAGTTGTTACTCATATTTTTTTATAATGACATTGTTATAACAGGTGAGGAATTGCAATTGACTTGATGAATGGATTGATGGTATGGTTTGCCCTGTTTGGTTGCTCGGGTGGTCTTGCATGTAGTTAATGGTGGTGTTTTGTGACAGTTTTTATATAGTATCCCCCATATCACTTGACAGGGATATGGGATATTTTCAGGATTCTAAGCGTTCTTTTATTTGTCGGACACATGATCAAAGCTGTAGATTCAGTCCACTTCTGTGAACCAGACTTGAGTTCTATACACTTACTCTATAATGAATTCACAGTATATATATAAGCCTTTGCTTGAATTCCACAGACAGTAACAAGCAGGTGTAAAATTATTGTGTGTAAAGGGCCACATCAAACAATACCATTGCCACCAGACTATGTGATATGACAAGATGGAGCTTACACTGTTTTCTTATTTGATTATAAATTATCGGTAAGGTTTACAAGCTTGATTGTGCATGAAGCATGGGTTGGCTTTTCGATGATGGAATTAGTAAGGGAGGAAACGTTATAATTTGATGGAATTTGATAAGCAATAATGGCCCAACCTTTACTTTGCGTACATTAACTCAGAAACTGGCTAGTGTTATTTTATGTGTTTTTAGGGGCCACTCTTTTACATAGGCCTCATTTCTGTGTTACAACTTCCCCTTCATTGTATGACATGTACATTTTAGGAATTATTTTCCACCAAAATACGGTGCATACCGAGACTGATTTTTGCCAATGCACACAAGATATCTACTCAAAAAGTGCCATATGTTGAAGGTCACCAGAGTGAGGAAGCATGTTGGTAAACTATGAAATATGATGTTCAACACACAACTCATGATTGCACAAACTTCATATGATATTTTATATCCAAAATAAGCTACTAACACGTTTTCATACCTAATACAAACTCAATTGGTAACTAGTGCATCACTAGGAAAATGTGCCCTGATAATGAGGAACAAAATTGACTGATCTTTCTACATCACGAAGAAGCAGAATTGGTGTGAGTACTTGAATTAATGCTTGTCATCTATCATTTGTTACTATATATACAAAGATGACAACCATTGATGCTTGTAAAAATAATGAGTGAAGTAAATCCCTATGTCCTGTTTAGTAAAGTCTGTACGTATTTACAATATTTGTGTATTTGGTATGGTGCAAGTGTTTCTCGTAAGAGGCCACATGTACATGAAAGTACATAAATGGTTGATTAGCAATGACGTTGAAGGAAGGAAGGAAGCTTATAACGTTTGCACTATCTACAATAATATACACAAAAAATGATTATTTAAATTTCAATTGCACCTGGGAAATGTTGATTGATGCACACCAGTGATTTTTGGCTACTGCACTTGAGCATGCTACATAATTTGCTCTGCACTTAGATACATTAAAAATTACCTCAGCTTTCAGTATAGATGTCTGATTGTGAATGTTTTCCGGGATATTACTATGCAAAAAGAAATGGCCTTTTTGATATTACTTCTGGATGCATTCACAATCGCAATAGTAATGGGCAGGGCATTAATGAGCGCCTAACACGCATATTGATGGTTGATTACTGGGTGAAAGGGGGATGGATCAAGGTGCAAGTGGAAGTGTCAGTGTTTGAGAAGGTGCTTGTAGTCTTAAGTGTTTGTTTAATTTGTTTGTGAAAATGTTGAGTGTTTTAGTTTCGATTATGTGTTGTGGGAGCCTGTTCCGTTGCGTATGGTACGTGGGAAGAATGAGTGCTTGTAAGAGTCAGTGTTGGTGAGGTATGTGTTGAATTTACTGGTGTGTGAGTTCCTTGTGTTGTGTGAGTATGCTGCTTGTAAGTATTCGTGTTTGTTGATGTCTATCAGGTTGTTTGTGATTTTGTACATGATTGTAAGTCTGTGTGCTTGTCTTCGTATCTTGAGCAGGTCCTTATTAATCTGTTTTTTTATGTGAGATGTAATACCAGGTTTATGTGTGTAATTGTTTTTAATAAACTTGGCAGCCCTAGTATTGACCTGCTCGAACATTGTATGTAGTTAAATCCACTTCAGGTAAGATTGTATACAAATCATGATAGTATAGATTACTTCAGGTAGAAAAAAGAGATGCAGTGACCAGTACCAAAGGGTCACCTGCATTAGACAAAAATTAAGAATGGATTGACAGTGATTTTTTCCTTGTCTCTGATTCTGCACAAAATTATTATTGTTTTCAATAAATTTTTTGAAAAATTTGGTTGTTGGCTGACTTTGAAAGGCTTGAGAACTAGTGTCAATGGAGCTGGATGCCCATATAGCATGCAAAACATAGAGCAGCCTTTATGATCATGACATGAAGATACTATCTGGAAATTGGTCCCATTTTACAAGGCACTAGTTGCATTGCAATTGCCCATTATTTTATATGGCAAAGCAGAGGTAAATGTGTGCATAAAATAAGGGGAATGCCATACTACAAACTTTAGTTGTATATCAGTTAATGTTTGGGCAAACCATAGTTATAGTATAATTACTAGTTTTGCTTTTATAATTATTATTATGGTTCATTTTTATTGATATAATATGTTAGTATTAGTTGTAAAGCATAAATACTTTATATGTGTATGATGTTTATAATACTTAAGTATCTGTTACTGTTGTTATTGATAATAGTATTGATATAACTGTAATTCGTTTCCAATGTCTTTTCCTTCATATTATTGTACTTATGAACTTTAAACTTAATGGTGCATATCAAGAATTTATTGACCAGCAGTAAATACAGCAAACAGAATTTTATGATTTTGTTGTAGCTTTATAAAATTGTATCATATTGTCATTAGAATATAATTATTCTTTGCATTTCTGTATTCCAGGTCTTGAAAAATGACAGACATGAATGACCAAACTGTAACCAACAAGAAAGAGCGGCGAGGCTCACCTTTAATGAAGTTGTCTGCCTACGTGTCTGCTTTGCGTCCATGGTCATTTAGCGCCTCTTTAATGCCAGTGCTGCTGGGATGCACATTGGCCCACAAGGCAACTGGAGAATTTAGTGTTGTTGGACTTATTACAACTGCACTTACAGCTTTGTCTGTTCATGCTGCAGGCAATGTGGTCAATACCTATTTCGATTATGTGAAGGGAATAGATAGCAAAAAAAGTGATGACCGGACTTTAGTGGACCAGCTGCTCTCAAAAGACGAAATTGTAACTCTTGGCGTGATTCTTTACTCTGTAGGGTGTGGAGGATTTGTGATCTTGACAATGGTGACTAATGCTCGTCTAGAACATCTAGCGCTTGTGTACTTTGGAGGTTTGTCAAGCTCATTTTTATATACTGGTGGTGGTTTTATATAAGATGTGTGTTGATTCTTATTCTCTTTGGTCCAATGACTGTCCTCTTTTCATATATGGTTCAGACTGGACATGTTCAATGGGGCACAATACTATATGCTGTACCTCTGGCATTAAACACAGAGGCAATTCTTCATTCAAATAACACGAGAGATCTAGAATCTGATCAGCGAGCCGGTATTGTCACACTGGCTATTCTCATTGGTTCAACAGCATCTGAAGTTTTGTATGCTATTTTCCTCTTCACTCCATACACAATTTTTGCTGTTTGGGGTATGAAATATTCACCTTTACTATTTCTACCTCTTATTACAATTCCTGAAGCATTCAGACTGGAAAGACACTTTAGAACAGTCAGTAAAGGACCTATACCAAAATGGACAGCTAAGCTTAATGTTTATCTTGGTTTTCTTTATGTTTTAGGATGTGCTCTCTCAGATTCAGCAAAATTACCTTATGTTCTGTAAATGTAAACAGTAATTAAGGGATAGAATCAGTGTTTCACTGCTATTCTTCTGTAGAATTTGCAGGTTGTATCATTTTAAGTAACTGGGCATGGTCCTTGAAATTTATTATTTATTATACTTTTATACTGTTTGGAGAACTCAAGACTAGAATTACTGTTTACTTTGTAGAGGAGGAGCATCTTGAAACTCAGTGAATTGTGTAAAGTAGGAAAGCCAAGGCTAATGCAAATGTGACAGATTTTTCAGCAGATAGACTTACTTTTGCTTAGGTACCAGAATTTGCATTAGCTTTGAACAATTCAAAGTGTTGTTGGTAGAAGAATGAAAGTTGTCAGTAACCAATGAAGTGAGATGAATATCAAAAATATATAAAACTGCATTTATGTTCAAAACCAAAGGAAAAGGTAGATGGTAGGTATGTCAAAGTAATGTCTTAGATGATAAATTTATTTGCTGATCAATTAATGCACATGAGCAATTTTCATTTCTATATTCATTCACTGTTGTAAATGTGTTGAGATGTGTGAGCAGCCATTTATGAAGGAATAAAAACAGAGTTCCTGTGTTGTCTTAGAGATATTGTAGCTTCCTTTGGAAGTTCACATATGAACTTCAAACATTGAATTGAAATCTGAACACCTCATACTATATTTATTAAATAAACTGTCTTGTTTTTTATGTTTTCTTCCTCTCTCCTAAGATGTATACAAGTATGCTTATCTGTGGAAGCTCACACCTTGGTGTTCTTGGCTTTTCGTAATTGAAAAATTATGTTTTTGATAAGTAAGATATTGTTTCTTGTGAATTATGCTTACTGATTACATAACTAAAGCAAGTTGGTTATGTTGCAGGTTTATAAAAAAAATATCAGTCCTCTCTCCTATATTAAGTGACATGTATATCACATAGATACTTTGGATGCAGATCAGCATCAATGTTGGTTTCATAAGTTATCAATTCTACTGCATCAAATATTGGAGGTTGAGACATGCTATGTTTATATTCCTAACTAAAAGTATTGGAAAGTTAATACAGAATATCTGATATTTATAGAAGTGCTATAAGAAATATGATTTTGAAGTACTTGGTTGTGATGCTTACTAATACTAAGTAATTAAGTTATCGATTGTACATTATTCTCAGACATATATGCATTTTCCTTGATTTACTGTATTGGCTTTGTAAAAACACTGTTTTTAGGAGTGTAGTTTTCTTATGTGCATTATCATTGCCATCCAAAATTAGTATTTGATACAGGATAGAACTTTCATGTACTGTTGATGCACATATGGAATCTAGAAGGCATTGCGGATGTAGCATTGTTTAGCTGACACTTGGAAAATGGACTATGGCTTGCTCTCTTTTTGACTACTTTTGTAGCTAATTAGATACTTAACTGATTACTTTAAGTTTATTTCAGTGAGTCCGAATGTGCCTGGGTTTGGCTACAGCTGTTATTTTAAGGGTTATGTGATGTGATGGATGACCTTTGAATACCGGTAGCTGTAAATTATAGAAGTAAATGTAAGAGTGAGATTATGGTGTTTTACTTTGCTATTTAGATTTATATTTTACATAAAATGTTTTCAGAAAGATATCACAGCTGTGAGGTCTTCCTTTAGAAAAAGGGCTGACAAGATATCTTAATTCATGAAAATTATATTGTATCATCTATACAGGGTTGCATTTTACAAGAGTGATTCATTAAGAGACATATAAAAAAGATTCAGCATTTTTATCTACAAATATAAATTCTGAATGAAAGTATTGATGTTGAGGTATATAAAATATTCAAATAATTTTCTGTAATATTATATATAAAGTATTTTAAATGTACAGTAATCTACTTCATTGAGATTATTAATAAGGCTTACAGGAAATGTAGATGAAAAATCATTTTTAACATAGTGCATCCAATTTCTGGATTAGTATATGGTTATTTTTCATGAATAAAAGGAATATTAATCTGAAGATGCACAATTTACTTTATTAATGATAGAAATACATGAATTTGGATGCAGTGTAAAATTTTGATGGACTAATGAAGTGAGACTGAAGGTACTGACCCTTACAATTTGAGGCCAGTACAGTATTACAACCATGCGTATCAACAACTACTCCTGAGTTGATTCCTAACTTTGGATCACAGATCATTGAGGTTCCTTTAGAAGTGTCTCTTTAGAGGCTCATAAATAGGCATTAATCAGTGGATTTGAGATCTTCAGAAAAGTTCGTTGGGTACAATTGTGTGGCATGGGGGAGGGAGCTTTGGTTTGGGAGAATCAACATTGACAAATTCAGAACCTATACATGAAAACTGGTCTCAAAAGTGCATGATATTAATAGGGACATAGCCTAAATATGAAGCCATGGCTATTTGAAGAAATAAATGTGGGGCATGATCCAATAAGAATGTCAGTTTGTTTACTTATTTATTATATATTTTTTATATATATATATTTTTTTCATGAAATAACTTGTATATCTACATGCAGCAAATTGAGAACTACAAATAGAGTAATAAAATTTATAAAAATATATTGAGGTATTTAAGCCACACAAGTGGGAAGAGAAAATAATATTGATTATTATCAACTTTGTTTTCTGGAAATAATTTTTTGCTTCTTTGGTTGGCATTATCTTAATATCAACTACCCCCCCAATCCCTTGCCCGTTGTTGTTGTGGGGGGGCTTAGGAGACGAAGACTGAGACCCAATACAGGGATCTCCCCTGTCTAGGGCCTCAACCCTCGACTCAACTAATTTTGCATGGTCTTTTTCCTCTCCAGCTTTTGTTTCCGTCTCTTCTCCATCCCCTTCTGCTATCTACTTCCTAAGGTGTGAGAGCCGTGCTGAGAGGATGAAAGGCTGACCTAGTGCCAGTCCTGAACGGCCTGCGGGAACTATGGGCACGGGACTCCTGACTAATCTAGCCCTTACCTTCAGTAGTGAAAGGAGGTGGGTCGATTAGGCCTATTTACATAATCCAGGTTCCCCATGACCAGTAATGAAAATGTAATCCCTTTATTAGAGGCTATGAGGCTAGCCCCTTTATCAAATAGCCCCAACCCAGGCTCTCCTTTGACCACGGCTCTGAACACTGAAACTACTACCCACTCCTCAATGCCTACTAGTGCATTACCCACCCAAGCAAAGAATCAATCTCCAGATGACTTTCCTACCCATCCAACTTCCTCAAATTCAACTCCACCCCTGCAACCTTCATCAAACAACCAATCCTCCCTTATTACTACCTTGCAACCTTATTCTCCATCATTCCGTAATACTCCCTCTTCCACACGTCCCCGACCATCCACCACCACCAACCCTACAGATATCTTAAATACCCTGTTTAGCCCAGCTAAATGGGACCGATTTTTCGTGATCCCTGCTACAGCTCCTTACTCAGGCAACACTCTTCTCTTTCAACAATGCCTCCAAAAACAAGTAGGCAGAGTCCCTTTTTATACCAGACGCGATCGCTCCCGTCTGGTAACAGTCAGATCAGAAACTGAATCTATAGCACTATCAAATTTAACTGATCATTCTAGCAACCCCATTCCTGCAGAACCTCATCCAACCCTTAATACCAGGACCGGAACTGTCTCTCTCTCCCCAGCAAACTGCCCAGTCGATACCAAAGATTGGTCAGACTGTGGAGAAGACTTATTAGGATGCCTCAAAGACCAAGATGTGAAATCAGTACATTGCTACACCATTCCTCCTAAAGGTCAACGAAAGAATCCGACCAATATTGCCAAAATTACCTTCCGTACACATGACCTTCCCTTACGTATCTACATTGGTGGACAGTCCCTCCCTGTTCGACCATACCAACCCCCTCCCCGTCAATGTCAAAACTGTTGGCGCTTTGGACATCCTGCCAAACATTGCCGTTCCACAGACCGATGCCCCATATGTGCCCAAACTGGTCATAATCGATCAAACTGCTCAGCACAAACACGAACATGTGCTAACTGCGGCGGCCCCCATAATGTATTTTATAGAGGCTGTCCCACTTACAACTTTGAATCTGAGGTAGCAACTCTCGGATACAAAAATGGTCTCACTTTACGTGAAGCCAGACAGGAAGCACGTCGACAAGGTTTCTCTCATACTCCATATCCTAGCAACATCGTTCGCTCAGCCCTTCCCCCTCCATCCCAAAATGTCCCCATTTCCACATCTACATTCGACATCCCTCAGACCAATTCCTTTGCCACTCTAAACCCAGACACCCCAATCTCAACCACAGCTCCTATCTCAACTACAGCCCCAACACCAACCCCTCTCCCTCCCCGCACTACCCGCAGTAGACAGACTAAACGTTCTAACCCTTCTTCCCCTACAACACAATCACCTCCACCTACCTATACCTTTGTTCCTGAGACACCAGTCTCTTCTTCCCCCCCTCATAAGAAAACCTTTATTCACAAAAACTCTCCAACCAATTCCATTGCAGAAACAATTACCTTCTCACAAAACTCTCCAACAAACTCCACTGCAGAAACAATGGATGACATTCAAAGCTATATGCTTGAGACACAAGATCCCATAACTCATGCTCCTTCCACACTTGAAGTGGTTGCCGATATTCATACCCCTCCTACTAATATTCCCCCTACACCCCTTCCTCCTACTCCCTCTCAACACAACCTAACCCCTCAATCCCGTCCACCACTGATATCCATCCTCCCAATACCCATCCTCCTGATATGCATCCCCCTCTTACTCACAGCACCCCTACACCCCTTCCTCCTAATCCCTCCCAAGACAACACATCCCCTTCAACTCCAACTATCCATCCTTCCGATATTCATCCTCCTAACAGTAATACTCCCCACATCTACTCCCTCCAACACACCCACCCCCTTCAACCCAACTATAGGCACATTCTCCCTCCCTCCATCCCCTCTATCCTTTGCACTCCCTCCCGGATACACACGAATCACTCATGGCACAACAATGCCCTTCTCCAGATTCCCTACCTCCTAATATCCCTCCTTTACACCCCCTAGCTCCTTCCCCTTCAAATTCCTCAACACGTACACGTGTTATCATTCGTAAATCAACTAGGATATAGCTCTCCTACATTGGAATATTCGCGGTTTCCGCTCACATAGATCAGACCTACGTCATATCCTTGCTTCTTATAATCCATCTATTATCTGCCTCCAAGAGACTTTCCTCACACACCCTCCTATTCCAATTCCCAATTACCATTTTATCTCTTCCCCACACTCCCTTTATGTCTCGTCTATACTTATCCATCATAAAACACCTTATGTCATACCTCCCATACAAACTTCTGTCCCGTGCACAGCTATTCGCATCTTTCTTCGCCGCTGGATCACAGTGATTTCAGTCTACTTCTCCCCATCCCATCCCATTGACTTTACTGCCTTTGAGACTCTAATTTCCCAACTCCAACCACCTTTCCTCATAGTTGGTGATCTCAACTGCCGCCACACTCTGTGGGGTGACTCTACCACCAACTCCCGAGGCCGATCTCTAGAACGCTTCCTCTTCACAAATAACCTAATTATTCTTAATTCAGATCGCCCCACACACTTTGACATGCGCACACAATCCTTTCCATGCCTTGACCTCTCTATATGCTCTCCTACTTTACATCTAGATTTCCATTGGTCAGTTCTAGACCACTTCCCCTATAGTGACCACTTCCCAATACTCTTTCTCCTACTTCATATGTACCACTTCCTAATCCTCCACGCTGGTGCTTTGATAGAGCTGACTGGCATACTTTCACTTCACTCTCTACTATACCTATCCCTCCACCCCCCTTACCGTCCATTTTAGATATGCTACATTGTTTTACAACCACGATCCTAAGAGCTGCCTATACAGCCATTCCTCGAACTTCAAGACCCTATACCTCTAAATGTGTTCCATGGTGGAATTCTGATTGCACCAAAGCGCTTCGCTTAAAACGAGCAGCCTGGAACAGCTACAAACGAGGCACCCCTCACCAGCTATCAGCCCTTATTTCCTTTTAAAGAGCATCTGCCCATCTTCGCCGTACAATTAAAAACAGCAAAACAAATAGCTGGCAAAATTATGTTTCCTCAATTACATCTTCTACATTTATTTCAGCTGTTTGGCGACGGATCCATAAACTATCAGGCAAACATCCCCCCCATCCTGCACCCGTCCTCCATATTCGAGATATTCTCATCTCTGAGCCTGTCGAAGTAGGTAATGAACTGGGCAACTATTTCAGCCAGGTCAGTAGTGGCTCTCACCTTTCCCCACACTTTTCTTCCATTAAAACCATCAAGGAACGCACCCCTATTACCTTCACCCTATCCTCTGATGAGTCCTATAATGCTCCTTTTTCTTCTTCTGAACCCAACGCTACATTACAGTCGTGCCGCAACACTCATGAAGGCCCTGATGGTATTCACTATCGTATGCTCCGATACCTCCCATCTTCCTCTCTATCCTTCCTTTTAACTATTTTCAACCACATATGGACGTCAGGAAATTTTCCTTCTCATTGGCGAGATGCTCTCATC